GAATTTAGCCACTAAACATTATTAAAAATAATTCAATAATATTTAGAGACATAATAAAAGAAAAAAAATAAATTAAATAATTAAACTTTAAAACCCGAAACCCGAATGAAGCCAAAAAGCGCCAAAACTCCCCACGGTTGCTACTCGCTTCGCCGGTGATCAATGATGCTGTCGCTGCGTGTGCGAAGGCAAGGGAGTAAGGTGATGTCGACGGTGAAGAGGCAGAGGTGGTGCTCGGCTGTGGAGAAGAGTAGAAGCTGCCGCCGGTGGTCTCGGTTTCGGAAGAGGTGAACTACGGCTGGTGCGTGAAGTGGTGCGTGGAGGAGGACGAAGATGGTGGTGCTGCTGCTGGCTGCGTTGGTGGAGATGGAGGGGGGTGATAACGGCTTCGGTGGTGAGATGGTGGCTGGTGCGCGCAGCGGTGAAGAGGAAGGCGGAGAAGAAAGATGGAGTTTGGTGGTGGTCGGCGGTGATGGAGGTTTTAACCGTAGGGTTCGGTGGTTTTCGGTCAAGTTTCGGTTCAGTTCTGTTGTAAAAATAAATCCCTAATCCTCCTTTTATAGGCTTCTGGCTAAACCCTACTCCTTGAAGAACAAGAAAACTTGTTTCCCAAATAATATCGGGATTAAAATTCTTATCCAATTCCAATCCCAAATCGGCCGCACATTCATCGTAACCTTCGGCCAATTTTCCAAAAATTAAAATCAAATTCCAAAATTGCATCATTGGCCCTCCAATTCTCTAAACTCATTAATTTCTTCCCCATCAATTGCTCCAATGTTCAATTCTTTCCCATTGAGTTACTTTTAATTCGATTTTAGCTCAAAACTTCAACAATTCTTCATTTGAGTCCAATTCCTACAATTGAAGATAAAATCACATAAATAGCATATTTGTACTCAAAATATATTGCAAAAATCACAAATTAGGGATATAATAAATAGGTAAAATATAAACATATCAATATTCATCCATTTGGTTTGTATGCCTATCTTGTTTTGTAGTTGTAATACAACGGGTTTGTATGCATATGCAACTTGCTTGTACTGGATATCCAACTTGCTTGTACTGGATATTCATCCATTTGGTTTGTATGCCTATCTTGTTTTGTAGTTGTAATGCAACGGGTTTGTATGCATATGCAACTTGTTTGTACTGGATATCCAACTTGTTTCTACTGGTTATCCATCCATTTGGTTTGTATGACTATCCTACTTGTTTTGTAGTTGTAATCCAATGGGTTTGTATGCATATTCAACTTGTTTGTACTGGATATCCATCCATTTGGTTTGTACGCCTATCCAACTTATGTATACTGGTTATCCAAAGAATTTATATGCTTATTCAAATTGTTTGTACTGGTTATCCATTCATTTTTTTTTTTTTGGAAAAAATCATTGTCCCATACGCTAATAATGGTTATCCATTCTGTTTATATCGCTTATCCAATCATTTTTTTCCTTTGAAACACGGTTATCCAATGTGTTCGTAGTAATTATCTAATCGCTTTGTATTGGTTATCCAATTATTTTTACTGCTTGTCTAAATAAGTTTGTATTGTTTGTCCAATCATTTTTTTTTCTTTTGAGAAAATGCTTGTCCAATTAATGTGTTCGTACTGATTATCCAACCCCGTGCTATTGTTTCTCCAGTGTATTTTTAATTGATTTTTATGAAAATACTTGTCCGACATATTTGTACCGGTCATCCAACTAATTAGTACTGCTTATCCAACCTAGTTTTTTCTTAAAATGGTTATCCATTGTGTTCATATTGATTATTCGACCAATTTGAGCTGATTATCCATTTCGTTTGTATTGTTTATCCAATCAGTTTTTTTAGAAAATCATTCTCCAATGTGTTAATACTGATTATCCAATTAATTAGTACTGCTTATCCAACATAGCTTTTCCTTTTGTTATTATTAATTTTTTTTAAAAAAAGGTTGTCCAACGTGTTCATATTGATTATCCAACTGTTTGGTTTCTATTATCCGACCATTTTTTTTCTCTACTCTTTGCAAAAATCTTTGTCCAGATTTTTGTACTGACTATCCGACAGCTTTGTATTAGTTATCCAATCGTTTTTACTGATTATCCAAACATAATTTCTCTTCTTTTTTTTTTCTTTTGAGAAAATATATGTCTAATCTGTTCATGCTGATTATCCAACTTCTTGGTGATGGTTATCCAACCTTTTTTTTCCTTGCTCTTTTATGACAATGATTGTCCAATCTTTTCGTACTGATTATTCAACCGGTTTGTACTGCTTATCCAATTATTTTCACTGATTATCCAGATAATTTGTAATGCTTATTCAAATATTATATTTTTTTTCTTTTTTTTGAAGAGGAGTAAATTTCAAAAATATGATTGGATAACCAGTACAAACAAAATGGATAATCAGTCCAAACCGGTTGGATTATCAGTACGAACACAACGGATAACCATTTTTCAGAAAAAAGAAAACATATTTCTTCATTTCTGCCCGTAAATAAATGCATTTAAAGTTTAAAAATAATATTCAGCATTGATCTTATCGGATAGATCTCGTCGACCACTATAAATTTCATATATAATTTGGATTGTAATTCTTTACGGATCAAGAGATATAAGTTTTACAATAATATCAATATAAAATAAGTTGATTATCGATTTTTTAAACCGGATATCCATCCAAATGAAGGTACAAATTTCTTTGTTTCTGCCCATCAAGTTATAGTCATTTTTAAGTTGGAAAAAGATATTCGATATGGCTCTTGTTGGATAAATTTCGACAGATGATGAGATATGTCCGTTTAAAGATTAAAGATATTTTTTGGAAGAGAAAAAAAAGTAACAGGAACTAAATTTGTAAAATATAGGAAGAGTTTAGAAAAAATTACAATAAGAACTAGTAGTGCAAAAAAATAAGAGAAGGTATACGTGCTCCAGGTATATTGGATACAGACTCGAAGTGTATAATTTTTATTTTCCTTTTTCAAAGACAAACACCGAATCAAACAACAATAGATTTGTTCACATGTATTGATTTATGAATTCAATTTGACTAGGCTTGTTTGGGATCTTTATAAGAATTCAATTGCTCAGTTAGATTTTTGGTTTTTTGTTATTTCCTTGCAAAGTCCGCTACTTACAGTCGACGTGGTTGGCAAACGCACCATGTATAAGAATTTGCAAAAGCGCCACGTGAGTATTAATTTACACAATGGTCAAAATATCTATTGAGGTTGGCCACAGCCCACGGCTTACGACTTATTGACCCAACGATTCTTACAAATAGAATATAGCAGTTCATTTCCTCCAGATATTTTACTCATTCCGTAGTTCACTTTCTCATACTATTTGTAACAAAATATGTTTTTTTCGGTATCTAAAAGATACACCTTCCGTTCCCCCCCCCCCAAATAATTCACATGTAAAGATTTATATTAAAAAACAGAATAAATCTCAATTGCAATATAAACTACTTTTTTTTTTTTTTTGGGTAGAGAGAGTAGTTTACATTTGTGGATTGCATAATGTAGATTTTTCTTCCTTTTTTTTCTTTTGTGTGACAGAAGGAGTTCTATTTTTCTAATGTACTGAATAAATAGTCAATCATACAATTAGGGTGGACCATCCACTACGCATTGGGTAAGAACTTGAACCACAATCCACAAGAGAATCTCCGGAACTGTAGTTCAGGGTCAATAGCAATCGATGCAATCGGACTGAGCGACTTTCGAGCCTAAGAAATACAGATTTTCATGTTGGCGGAAGAGGTTCGGCGTTCATTGATGTTTATTGGGTGAAATCAACCTAAGAGAACTATATGTGTTGTTTTGCAGAATAGGAATAATGATGTTTTGTGCTTTTGTTTTGATTTTTGATACAAGAGCATCGATGTTGGGAGTCTTAAATTATCTCCAAATATTTGAATAGATGAGATGAAGGTACCTAAATCTACAGCTTGTGGCTATCAGATATTGTACATTATTCATGTCACCGTGCTTTGGCACCTTTATTATAATCTACGCACTTTCATTGCCATCGTTCCTACTTATCACCGTAACTCAGATCGCTCTCCTTCTTCTTTTTCTTTATTTTTACTTTTGGTTTCGAATTGATATATATATCTATATATATATATATATATATATATATATATATGGAAGGATCTCTACTAGCTAGTTTGGTTTTTCTCTTTCTCTAATTCGATTTGATAAATGAGATAAACTAAGTTTTTCTCTCTGATTTCTCTATCATATATATATATATATGTATGTGTGTGTGTGTTGAAATTTTGGGATTATGGTAGTTATGTTCACTTTTAGCTCTTCGTCAATTTTGGGAGGGATAATATTTAACATTGATATCTGAAATTAATAGTGTAGTGCTTGTAAGAAGTGGTAAGTAGTAGTAATTTACTTTTCTAATTTCATAAACTAAGAATTAGACAAAATTGACACATAAGATTAGGCATTAGAAGATTAATTTAGTTTTTTCTCTTTAAATATTGCCTTACTATAGTCTATACATAGCTAGATTCGTCTTACAGAGCGCCATGTGGAGTGTCTGAATGTCTAATTAGTTGGTCAAAAGCCCACAACTAATGACTTCTTGACCTGGTAATTAATACAAATACTATGAATAGAAGGTCCGCAATTCCTCTAAATATTGCTCCCTTCTTTCAATAATCCATTTAATAATTTATTTATTTATTGTACTCTTCATAAAACAAAATATATTCCATATAACTAATTTTTTGGAAGAGTGAGCAGAAGGAAGGACTATTATATGCATCACGTTTTGATCTCATGCCGAATCATTTACTAATATTTAACAGTATTAATGTATGAAATTGGTCTTTAAAAATATAAACGATGAAGGCCCCGCGAATAAACTAACACAATAGTATACTTACTCCATTCAATATATAACTAAGTAGCTAGAGTCACAAAGCTACATCTCTCTCACACGCACTATTATACTAAACCTTTCACTTCATCATCAATCATCATGGAGGTTTTACAGTACTTTCAGAAAGCTTTGATTTCCTTAGGAATAGTGGCCTTGATTGCATTGTTTTGGCGTTTGTACAATGCTCTAGTGATCCAGCCAGGGAAACTTAGATCAATTATGAGGAAGCAAGGGATAACAGGACCACCACCAACCCTTTTGTTCGGAAACATTTTGGAGATCAAGAAAGCTTGGTCCGGCACCGCGAATGCTCCTCCGATCTTCGGTGTCCCGAACAAACACGACTGCGCGACGACCATCTTCCCTTTCTTCCAAAACTGGCTGAAGAAATACGGTACTCTCTCGAATTTTAGTTAAATATTTCGTGTCGTTTTTGTTACCGCTATTCTTTACTACTAATTGTTCATGGATGATGATGATGTTTCAGGTGACATGTTCATGTTATCCATGGGAAATACACAAGTATTAGTTGTTACGAGGCAAGAGATAGTGAAAGAGATGACGACTTGTACGTCACCGAATTTCGGGAAACCTTCGTATCAAGCCAAAGAGCATAGTGCTTTTCTTGGTGATAGCATTTTCACATCCAATGGGACTCAATGGGCTCATCAGCGAAAAGTCATCGCACCTGAATTGTTCATGGACAAAGTTAAGGTTAGTTATCGCGATTTTTTCTGTTCTCAAATAATTGTCACGTTTCATTAATTATGATAATTTTGGTCGCATCACTTTAATCGTTTTGACTTTTTTGTGTGTTTTTTTCCCCTCAGGGAATGACGAAGCTAATTCAGGAGTCTGCAATGACAATTGTGAACTCGTGGAACAAAGTGATTGAGGAGAAAGGTGGGATTGCAGACATAAAAGTTGATCCTTATATGAGGCGTATGTCAGGAGATGTAATATCAAAGGCATGTTTTGGAAGCAGTTATAACAAAGGTGAAGACCTTTTCTCCAAACTCACTTCACTTGAGGAAGCCACTTCTAAGAAGTTCTTGGCCATTGGTATTCCCGGGATGAGGTGTGTTGAATTCTTTTTTCTTTTCCTACTTTTTTCTAAATTCTAAAATAGTTCCCACAAATCCATCTCACTAATTATATCATCTATCAATCGTTTTCTTTGCCAGTTAATTCTGTTTGCCTATTAATTCTTTTTGCATGTTAATTCTTAAATAGTATCCACAAATCCATCTCACTTATATAAATTGTCAGTCATTTTTACTGATGATAAAATATCATCATTTCATTTTGAAATACTCTATATGTTCAAAAAAAAAACATATATAAAAACATCGAGGCGCGCGCAGAGCTAGTAATAAATTTTAAAACCACGTTTAATTACTATTTCATTGATACACTATTAAAAAAAAAGAGTAAAAGGTAAAGATCTCATAACATTACCCCCTCCTTTTTGTAGTTATAGCTAAATAGATGGCCACTACTTGAATTTTTTCGCACTTAACGTGAAGGAGGCAATTTTCAAGAAGAAAAAAAGATGAAAACATTCGTACGTACAACGTCGTGCTCCAATTAATGTCCACAGCTTCATTTTAAACTTGAAATTCTCATAATCATCAATGTCTTCCTTTTTTTCCATAGTTTCAATGCAATTGTTTATGGGCTCTATTTGAAATAAAAAAGAAAACAATAGTAACAACGCACTTCAATCTAATGTTCTTTTCATCAAGAAATGGACCAAGGATTTAAAAATAATTGGACCAAATGAATTGAATTAATTTGAATCTATGAACATGTAAATTACTTCAGGCATCTTCCAACAAAAAGCAATAGGAAAGCTTGGGCACTTGCCAAGGAGATCAAAGAACTAATTCTGAATGTGGTGAAGGAAAGAACAAAAGCTGGGTACGAGAAAGATCTACTCCAAATGGTTATGGAAACTGCCAGAAACGAAGAATTCATTCGCAGCCATGAAGAACTCGATCGATTCATCGTCGATAATTGCAAAACCATTTACTTCGCCGGGTACGAAAGTACTGCAATTTCCGCAGCTTGGTGTCTAATGCTCTTGGCTGCCAACCCGGAGTGGCAGGAACGAGTCCGGTCTGAGGTTGTCGACACTTGCCGCGGCAGAGTTCCTGATGCCGAGTCCATCCGTACCATGAAATCGGTAACGGCACCTACTATATGTAACATTTTAATATTTCGCTGAATTTTGATATAATGTAATGTTTTATTATTGTATAAAGAGAAAATGAATATCACTATAACCATTTTTTCGCGTTTTTGTATGATTTTACAGCTAACCATGGTGATTAATGAGTCGTTGAGATTATACCCGCCCGCAACGATCATGTCAAGGGAAGTGTTTGAAGACATGAAATTTGGAGACATTGTGATACCAAAAGGTGTCAATGTGTGGGCATTTGTGTTGACTTTACACACCGATCCTGAGATCTGGGGAAATGACTCGTATGAATTCAATCCACAAAGATTTGCTGATGGTGTTGCCAAGGCTTGCAAGTATCCACAGGCATACATGCCATTCGGAATGGGACCAAGGATTTGTCTTGGCCAGCATCTGGCAACGGTGGAGCTCAAGATTCTGATCGCTCTCATAATATTGCGTTTCAGTTTTACTCTTTCCCCCACTTATATTCATTCTCCTGTCTTGCGTTATATTATTGTGCCCAAGCACGGAGTCAATTTATGTTTTAAGAAACTTTGAATTGCAAAAAGATCATGTTGGAATAAATTAATAAATGAGAAACGCAATCAAATGGTATTTATGTTATTAAAGATTGAGTCATTGAGGACTTATAAATATTTTCTTCTTCTATTTCTTTTTTTTTAAAAAAATAAATGTATTAGCCTATTAGAGATTGAATGAATTTTCCGCAAGCCGAGTAACAGAGGTTGAGTTAATACTTGAAACGTTAGTTTTCTTTTGTGTGTGTGTGTGTGGGGGAGGGTGTTTACTTGAGGGGATAATCAAAATTGCAGTTCAAGACACTGAGTACTTAAATTTATTACTTTCCGATCAATAGCTAGTGACCACTTTAGAACCTAAAGTAATTATTGGCCAAAAATGCAATTTTCCGACTCCAATTGCCCTATAAGATGGTTGATTTGATTTGATTTTTTTTTTGGGTAAATGTTGATTTGATTAATTGAGGCACAAAATCTTCATTATACTGTACTTCGTAAGATATGACAATGACATACTATATATGTGGGCATGCAACAATCAGTCACAACCAAACAAGGTTGTCTGCATTCCACACTTGAGCCAATGTCTATTCAGGATCCTAAGACACATGTCCTAAATCACACATGCAATCATTAATTTTAGTTACTTTCATCCGAGAAAGTAGTGTTATTCAAAAGGTAGCCACGATTGATGGCTAGGGTTCAGTTTATTTCAGACTTTTAAGTTCTAGATTGGCTAATAATGATGCATACAGAAAAAAAGGTTTACAAAGAAAAATGACAAATCACACTTTACATTTCAGGGACATAGTTAGATGATTGACACATCATTCCTTGTAAAAAAAATTTTCTAATTTTTTCTTTGCACGCATCACACTCTTAATATAAATAGTATCTCGTCCCAAGGAAGACCTTATTCATATAATTGGCTAAGTGCTTGTAATCTACATTTGAAAAAGAGTTACTTTCATCCCAAATCTTAAACTTTTCTAAGATTGGCATTGTATTTTAGTTTTATTATGTAAGTCTTAAAAGTGAAAAATAGCCTAATTAAATAGTGGAATGATTTATTTAATCTATTTGTATTTCTTTAACCTCTTTGAATTATTTTTCATATCTTTTTTTATTTTAAAAAAAATCTCCATTATAAAATGATTGTCTAATTTCAATTTTTTTTATTTTTTAGTACAGATTAAACTAGAAATGAAAAACTATATTAAACAGTCATTTCGAAATTGAGAAAATGCGCATGATAAACACCATGATATAGTTCATGGTCTAGACGAAATCAGTATGATTATACAATTAAAGAATATATTGATATCCGTGAGAACGTACAAATAATCGAACATACATGGTCTTTTTATTACAAAACAAATTTATGTTGGAAACTCAAGGTAACCTGTTTTCTTACCGCAAATACATACTAGTTCTTATGTTCAAAATGATTGTCCGGTTTGGAATTTCATTTTTAGTACAATCTATACATAAAGTAAAATTCTAAATGGGACAATTATTTTGGAATGTAGGAAGTGTGATTTTATATATACAACTAATCTACTTCCTTAGTCCCACCAAAAAAAAAAAATCTACATTGAGTTTTGAAATTTGTATTATTTTTAGTATAAATTTCAAAACTCAACGTAAATTATTTTTTTGAGACGAAAAAAATATTTATTAACATCCACTAAAACAGTAAATCAAAATAATTTATATAGTTAAATACTTTTTCAGTGGGGGGAGGGGGATAATAAAATGTAACTCAAAGGAAAAAGAAAACGACTCCAGCCCAAAAGTCAAAACCATCGTAGGTAAATGTCAGGCATTACAATTTTATAAGTATGATTTTTAATTTTAATAAAGTAAAGGGACTTTTTATATAATTTAGGAGAACTCTAACCGTTTGCACGTGAGGTGGAGACAGTCAATGAAAGAGGAAGAACGGTTGACTGAAATGGTTCAATACTTCTATTTATATTTTCACTCTTCAGAATACTCTTCTTCACTCTGTTTTCTCTCGCACACCTTCCTCCCTCTCTGTAATTCATCTTCTTTGAGAGTTAGAGATTTAAATTAGGGTTTGGAAGTAGAAAACTGCTCCAAGGAATCCATCGTGTTTTTCTGTTGTTTTGAGAAAATGGGGAAACGAATTACAGGCAAGATGGCCAAGAAGAACAGAAGGAAGAGGATGGAGAAGAAGTACAGAAGAAGAAGAGCGAGAAGATTGCGTCAAGAATCCGAAGTTCATCAGCCTGAAGGTGAATTGAACGAACCAGGAGAAGAAGGGGTTCATGAACCTGAACCAGATGAAGTTGATGATGAAGCTCAGCCTCAATTTGAATTCAATGTCCCAGGAGAAGAAGGGGTTCATGAACCTGAACCAGATGAAGTTGATGATGAAGTTCAGCCTCAATTTGAATTCAATGTCCCAGGAGAAGAAGGGGTTCATGAACCTGAACCAGATGAAGTTGATGATGAAGTTCAGCCTGAAGATGCACCGAATAACCAAGAAGAAGAAGGGGCTGATCCCAATGCTGACGTTCGCAATCAATTGATCAATATCCCACAAGAAGAAGTGGTTGATCTGAAAGCCCCAGAAGGAGGGGTTCAAGAAAATGATTCCGGCGATGATGAAATGAATGTCCCAGAAGAAGGGATTCAAGAAAATGATTCCAGCCATGATGAACTGAATGCCCCAGAAGAAGGGGTTCAAGAAAATGATTCCGGCATTGATGAATTGAATGTCCCAGGAGAAGGGGTTCAAGAAAATGTTGCCGATGGTGATGAGCAGGAAATGGAAGGAAAAGAAGATGGGCAGGAGGAAAATCCAGAAAAACCAGTAGATGAAGTTGAACCGTCGGAAGGAAATCAAGAACCAGTCGGAGCAGTTGAAGGATCATTATCTCCGGCAAACCCAGAAGCAGAGCAAGAAGCCCATCCAGTCAGAGATGAAGATTCTCCTAAATCCTCTGAAGATGCTTCTCAGGGAAATTCTGGTGATGGGCCCAAAGAAACAGAGGATCTTGATCGTCAGGATGATCTTGCTGATCGGAATCCAGGGAAGAGGCCAATGAGAGAAGAAGAAGAAGGAGTTAATCGTTCCGGTCAACACGAGTCGAAGGATGATAGGCGTAGATTAGAAACTGCTGACAATTTTGGGATTGCTCCAGAGCATCATGTTGATCAATCTGGAATGGTGATCAGAACGGCGCCTAATGACGATGGTAATTAATCAACACCAATCAATACCTGTTCTTGAATCACTTTCTTTCTTAATTTCTGTGAATTTTATTTCCCCCTCAATCCATATTTCTTCTGCAAAAACAGGGGATGTTGATCAAGATGATATTGATGATGATATGGCATCAGTGCCTTTTGATGATTTTGACACTGGCAACCCGTTAGGAGTTAGAACCTACCCGGTGCCTTCGATCCATGTTCAAGGTAATCTATTAATAAAGCTTTTTTCTTTCTCAATTAGTTAATGCAAAAATTTCTTTGTTCTTAGTGTAACGATGGAAGTTCACCTGTCAATTTTGTCACTGATGGTTTGTTTTTGAACTCTGTTTTTTATATTGTTAGATTATTATCTATACGGCAGAGGTGGTCGCGGTGACAAAGCTGAATATGTTTCTTCTTCTTCTTCGTCTTCTTCTGCTGCTGCTTTCAAAGGTACTGCGAGTTTTCTTCTACCTTTCCCTTTTATTCGTGTGTGAATTGCCTCAGTGTTATTAGTCCATATCCAGCAGCAAAAAGCCAAAAAAAAGAAACTCGTATTCGTTTGTCAATTTATTGTCATTGATTTTATTAAACATTGATTTCTAGATGATCTATGCCACGACCCTGTTGAATATGAACGTCAAATGGCAGAAGCTTCCCGCCGATCAATTCTAGGTGTGTATGAATTTGGATTTTTCAATTAAATGTGGAACATTTTGTTTACGGGTTGTGTTGATTTAGAACCACAAGAGATTCACTTTTTGAACGTTACAGATACAGAACGCAATCGTTCCCGGCAAATTATCGCTGAAGGCCGGAGATCCCTGGCAGATGATCGTGGTGATCAAGGAGGAGTAGTTCATCATCACCCTGATCCTGATGATGGCCTGAACGCTGCTCATTTGTTGCCTGCAGATCTCCATGCTGAATTTGGCATCATCACCACAACTGAAGCTGGATCTTCTTTTTCCTCTTCTGTTATGGAAGGTACTACATTCTTTTTTAAATGTAGAACATTTGTTTACGAGTTGTGTAGTTGGATTAGAACCATCAGAGATTCACTTTTTTTACCATCACAGATTCAGATATAGAACCAGTATACGATCGTGCCCGACAGTTTCTTGCCGGAGCCCGGAACTCCATAGTAGAAATGCTAGGCCGATGGCCGGACATTGATGAGTCGCGATTAATGCAAGCTTCATCGAGCAGTAATCCTCCTGTTCATCAATCTGATGATGGTGATCGCAATGCCGAGGAGATGCGTCAAAGAAAAGGAAAAGGGGTTTATCAATCTGATCCTGGTGATGCTACACCTGATGATGACTTGAGCGATGATGAGACCTTCATGGATTATAAGGAAGAAATTTTAGACATGATGGGTGTTCCTCCGGAGCATCTTGCCGGATTTGATGCCGGAATCCCAATTGGAACTAAGAGCAACCCATCACCACGAATGATGAAGAAGATGAAGATGAAGAACAAGGCCCCTGCTCCGATTTATCCTGACGGTAACCTATTTATTCATGAATGAACAATGTCTTTTTGAAGCCCTTTTGCTTTTAATCTCGGCTTAATGCTATTTCATACGTGAAATTCTTTGTCACTAATTTTTTGATTTCTAACTTTAACATCGTTATTTGATTTCTAGATTATGTAAACCAGGGCGAGGAAGATTTCGGATTGCAAGAAGCAATGCGTTTATCAATGCTAGGTAATGAACACCCCAAAAATTTCAATGAAAATGTTGGAACATTTGTTTTACTGGTTTTTGTTGTTATGGTAAAAAGATTCACTTTTTGATAAATCTCAGAATCACAAAACACCCGCCCAAGTTGTCAACATGATGCTGAAGCTGGATCTTCTTTCTCCTCTGTTATGGAAGGTATTTTATTTTTAATTACAATTCCTGAAGTCCAAATGGATGTAAATTATGTTGGAATTAAAGAAGGATTGTTTCGATTTCGATATATTCACAGGTCCTTCCACATCTTACGATGATCCGCCTGATGAATATTGGCTACCACAGAGAAAAAGGGTGATGGGTTGGATGGAATGCGCGATTTGCGGTGCTGCAAAACCTCCTGAGTTCATGATTCAAATCTCTTGTCAATGCTGCCATTATTGCATCTGCATCGATTTTTGTATAGTCATTTTGCTTGGGTTTGAGGCTGAGGAAAACACTCGTCTGGTTTGCCCACACTGTGGTCATAACTTGCTTCCTGAGGGACTCTACGCTCTTGTGCTGAGTCAGCTGGTGATGGCTTACTATTTCCAGTAATTGAGAAATGAAGAAGGGTTGCTTCAATGCTTTTTTACTGAATGGGTGATCTTCAGAGCTGTTTTCTGATGTAGTTAGATTTTAGTTAGATGGCACTGAGTTACAGTATTGCATTAATTGGATTTTTGTTCTTCCATTTCATTCATGCTTCATCAGATAAACCTTAATTCATATAACGTGTTTTCCGATACACTGTTATAGTCAGTAATTCATCTGAGTTTGGGGATAGTCAGCAATGAATTTGATCAAATTCTATTGAGAAATAGTTTTTGTACATCTAATTTCTTTATTACAGCAGAATGACAGGTTTTAAAACTTCAAATGCTTTCTTTTTTTGGACATTTCAGTTTCATTGAATAAAAACAAAATTGGTACGATAGAAAAGATGGGGAGACTCTCCTCGACACCAGTGTATAATGAACTAACATAATAACTAACTCCAAGCAACCTTCCAAACACGTTCGATTACAAGTACTTGCAAGGAGTCAGTTAATTTCACCGTAATTAACCTATCTTTAGTGTTTGGGGCATAATACGGGCACATGGAATCAAAACTATAGCAAAGATGGTAAAGGAGATAAAAAAGGAAACCTATGGAACAAAATGATTGAGGAGAAAGGGAATGTAATTTCAAAGCCATATTTTGGAAGCAGTTATAACAAAGAAGAAGCTATCTTCTCCAAACTCAATTCACTTGTGGAGTCACTTCTACAAAGAATTTGGCCATGGGTTTTCCCGGGCTTAGGTGTGTTGAATTACTATTTTTTTTTTCTTTTTTTGGCCATTGTATCAAATAATCAATTAATCAAATTAATATTAATCTATGCATCATATAAATTAATTATACTTCAGTCATCTTCCAACAAAAAGCAATAGGAAAGCCTGAGCGCTAGCCAAGGAGATAAAAGAACTAATTCTGAATGTCGTTAAGAACCGAAGCTGGGTACGAGAAAGATCTACTCCAAATGGTTATCGAAAATGCCAGAATGGAAGAATTCATTAGCAGCCACGACGCACGTGATCGCTTCATCGTCGACAACTGCAAAACCACTTACTTTGCCGGGTACGAAAGTACCGCTGTTTCAGCCGCTTGGTGTCTAATGCTCTTGGCCGCCTACCCGGAGTGGCAGGAAAGGGTCCGGTCCGAGGTTGCCAATGCTTGTCGTGGCCAAGTTCCCGTTGCCGAATCCGTCCGCAGAATGAAATCGATAACGCCACCTATATTATACTGTAAATTATTTTAATTTTTTTCCAACTTCAATATAACCCACTTCTTCTGTCCCAAAATTATTGTCTAATTTTGAGTTTTACTTTTAGTTCAATTTATACTAAAAATAAAAATTTATATTGCACAATAATTTCAGAATAGAGTACTATATAGAAAATAAAATGAGTCTGATTATCTGTATCCAATTTTTCACCTTTTTTTTTTGGTATGATGTGTAGTTGACCATGGTGATTAACGAGTCATTATGATTATATCCGCTAATGACAATCATGTCAAGGAAGTGTACGAAGACATGAAATTTGGTGCAACATTGTTAAAACAGGTCGTTGTGTGGGCATTTATGTGTTGGCTTTACACATTGATCCTAAAATTGATTAGAAATGATTCTTATGAATTCAATCCACATAGGTTTGCAGACGGTGCTGCCAAGGCTTGCAAAATATCCACAGGCATGTATGCCATTTGGAATCAGACCAAGGGTTTGTCTTGGTCAACATTTGGCAACGATGGAGCTCAAGATTTTAATTGCTCTCATAGTATCGCGATTTACTCTTTTCCCTACCTATATTCCTTCCTCTGTCTTGTGTTACATTATTATGCCCCAATACGAAGTCAATTTGTGTTTTAAGAAACTTTAAAGATTGAGCTATTGAGGACGTTAAAAAAAAAAATCTTCCAGTAAATGTAGCTATATTTAGAGATTGAATGAATTTTTTGCAAGCAGCATAAGAGGTTGAGTTAATACTTGAAACTACCAACATCGGCGACTTTCCGGTTGATCCCAAAGTGAATCCACCAGATCGAATGGAACGTGATTTTCCACAATTGCATAAGGCCAATCCTCCTTTATTGACGGATTATCGGTCCTTGAAACGATCTCGAGTACGGGAAAATTCTGCTGAAGGTGAAGTATTGGATCCAAGGTTTGCTGCTCCACCAAAGTCTGTTGTGCCACCACCAAAACTGAGTTTTAGAGACATGCTTAATCTGAATCAGCCTCATGTGGATGTGCATTCCGATGATGAAGATGGGAGGGATTCAGATGATGATGTTACTATTGATTTTGATCGGCCTGAACCTGATGTGCAGATCAAAGATAGCGTTTATGCGTCAATGATTCAATCATGGCAAAACGTGGTGGTAGTGAAGGTGATGGGGATTGCCCTAACTCCTCAATTGCTTTACTCCAAATTGACGGTTTTATGGCTTTTTATGCAAGGCTGCAATATGATTGATTTGGAGAATGGCTATTTCCAGATCCGTTTCAAATCAAACGAGGATGCGGTGAAAGTGCTGGTTGGTGGCCCGTGGGTAATTACGAAGCAATTCTCAAGATTTTGCCTTCATGTGCAGCCATGGAGTGAAGATTTTGACGAGAACAGTGACCAGATCAAGCGTGGATCCGTTTGCCGGGCATGCCCGTTCATCTCTATCATAAGAAAGTATTTCGCAAAATTGGAAAAATAGTCGGTAAGGTAGTGAATACTGACCACCAAACAGCTGCTCAAACTAGAGGTAAGTTTGCGAGATTGGCGGTCGTCCTGGATTTGACAAAGCCTGTGTGTGCTAGATTTACGATTCGGGGCAAGAAACAGCCGGTTGAGTATGAGTATCTTCCTAACATTTGTTTCCACTATGGGCGTTATGGGCAAGCTGCCATAAGTTGTCCGGATCGGACTAGCAAAGGTGAAGTGCCTGATGGAAGTGGAACTAGAAGAGGCGGGGCTGTTGATGATCGTGGGTGTCAAAGATGATGAATATCCCCCTTGAAGATGAAGATCAGATCAAACAGTACGCATATGGATCATATGTAAATTTGAAGTTTTGTTGTATGGTTTACTGTTTTACCCCTGAGCTTTGTATAGGTAGTATTTTAAGTAGAGGGCTGATTGGTCTTTATACATATGTCGGTTAGTTTAGACATATTAAATAGGCTGATGATTGGTCAGCTGTATAGTTAGTTTTTGTATTAGTGCATATATACAGTTTGCTGTACAAAGTTGAGATATGATATACAGAACAAAAATTCCCAAATCCATTTTCTAGAATTCTCTTCAATGAACCCTAACTTCCAATTTGAGATGGTATGAGAGCAGGTCTGATCCTGTTCTAGTAGCCACAAATCTTGCACGGTTCACGAATCTTGAAGAAATCAAAGGCTTCTGACCGGAAAGAATGGCGGCGGAAGAAGCAAATCGATCCGGCGATTCTCACCGGCGTCATGGCGGTGATTTGCAAACATATGGAGGTTATTTTCACCCACTTATCTTGCTTCCATCTGATAATTCAGTTCTTGCTCTTGTTAATTTTTAATTGGACGGTTCGGATTATGTTTCTTGGAGTCGAGCTGTAAGAAGAGCTCTTGCTACAAAGAATAAACTAGGTTTTATTACCGGATCATATACGAAACCAGCAACACCCGGTTTTGAGCAAGAACAATGGTTGCGAGTAGACGAAACTGTGATTTCCTGGATATTGAATGCTATTTCTCCAAGTATTGTTGAGAATTTTTCTCTAGCTGAAACTGCACAAGAACTTTGGGAGGAATTGAAGGAGAGACATGGAACTCGGAATGGTCCTCAGGTCTATCGATTGAGAAGAGAAATCTGCACGATCTCTCAAGGAAATCAGAATGTAGCAAGCTATTACTCCAAACTAAAGCGACTGTGGGATGAGTTGCAAGTTCTTGATCCAGCAGACGAATGTACATGTGGAGGTTGTACTTGTGGTGGATGCAAATGTGATTTCAGGAAGACAACTGCCAAAGATGGAAAGAACAGACTATATCAATTTTTAACAGGCTTGAGTGACTCATATAATGATGTCAGGAATCATGTGCTGATGATGGAACCTTTACCTGATGTGAAGAAAGCCTATAGCATGGTTCTGACGGTTGAATAACAGAATGGAGTCAACATTCAGTACATCAATTCAGGAAATTATGATCAGAGTGCTATGTATTCGTCACAGATTAAGAATCAAGATCCGAACATACAATCAGGAGGTGAACAAGTTGCAATGTTCTCACACAAAGGAAGGTTCAACAACAACAAAGTAGCAAAAGAGAATGACTGGAGAAAGGAGAAGGCTAGGAAGAAATTTTTAAAGTGTGATCACCGTAAGATGACAGACATATCAAGGATTCATGCTTCAAGATAATTGGTTATCCAGAATGGTGGAATGATAATCACAAAGAAGGGAAGCAGTTTCCACCAACTCAGAAGATTACAGGAGGTCATTCTGCTCATATGGTTGAAGTCATTCCTGAAGCTAAGACTGAGACAGGCATCAATACAGGGAGTTCAGATATCCAAACCACGATGAACAACTTGAATTTGTTTCAGCAGGAGATGGCAAAGTTGATCAGAGGAAAACAGACAGCTGGTGATTTTGAACATGTCAATTTTGCTCATTATTATGATTTTGCAGGTATGAGCACTTTTTATACTATGAACAAGATGACAGATAATGATTTGATGATGTTAGCTTTATGGTTCATAGATACTGGTGCTACTAGACATATGAGTGCATTGCTGAAACTATTTTTTAAGTATAAACCTGTTGACCAATACACACCTGTTTGTTTGCCTGATGGAACCATCAAAATAGTTGATCATATAGGCAGCATAAAATTGTCAGACAACCTTATCATTTCAGATTGCTTGCATATATCCTCTTTCAAATATAACCTATTGTCAGTTAGCAAATTAGCTTCTTCATCCAAAATAGATTGCTTGTTCTCAAAAAACTTTTGTTTGTTGCAGGACCAAGTGACTAGAACCATTGTGGCAGTTGGAAGACTAATGAACAAGCTTTATGTTTTGGATCAAAAATCATTTGCTAAGGAAACCATTTTGCAGTTCATAGATACTCATGTGAATCATCCATTTGTGATGTATGCTAGTTCTAAGAAATTTCATTTTTCTCATTTAGCCAGTGATGCGAATTGCAGGACCTGGCATCATAGATTAGGCCACATTCCAGATAGTATACTGCATCATCTAGGCATATGTAATAAAGATGATGTAAATATTTCCAGTGCTTGTGAAGTTTGTCCAATGTCTAAACAACAAAGACTAAAGTTTCCAGTTAGTACTATACAGTCTAATTCAATTTTTGAATTGATTCATGTGGACATTTGGGGACCACATTCTCAAAAATCCTTATCTGGTGCACAATATTTCTTAACTGTTGTAGATGACTATAGCAGGTCTACTTGGACATTTCTCATGCATCATAAGTCTCAAAGTGTAGCCATACTCAGTAACTTTCTGAAAATGGTTAATACTCAGTTTGATACTAAAGTCAAGATAGTCAGGAGTGACAATGGGTCAGAATTCTTAAGTCATCAATGTCGAGGTCTATTTACAGATTTTGGCATCTTACACCAAAAATCATGTCCTTATACACCTCAACAGAATGGGGTAGTAGAAAAAAAGCACCAACATTTACTTCAAATAGCCAGTTCATTACTATTTCAATCTGGATTACCTAGAATATTTTGGGGAGATGCAGTATTAAGATAAGGAAATAAACAGACTTCCTTCATCAGTACTTGACTTCAAATCTCCTTATGAGATCCTTTTTTCTAGACCACCAGATATTTCTCACCTTAGAGTGTTTGGTAGTTTGTGTTATGCTACAAACACTCTTCCACATAAGGGAAAATTTGATTCCAGAGCTATAAGGTCAGTGTTTATAGGTTATCCATCTGGTCAGAAAGCCTATAAACTCTTTGATCTTACAAATCAGAAAGTATTCATTTCCAGAGATGTAATCTTTCATGAGACTACATTTCCTTATCTTAAACCACAGATTTCAACCAATCCCTTACCATCCAATTCTCAGCATTTTCCAGATTATCCAGATCAATGGGATGTAACTGCTGCACCCATTCCAGCTTTCTTTCCTTATGACAATCATCATCCTTCTGATGATGATCACCACAATTATCAATCTCCTTCACATAATGATGATCCAGAAATTAATCAATCACACTCCCCCACTCTGATACAGTCTAATCCCAGTCCAACTTCCTTTTCTTCTTCTCCTTCAACAATCAAAAATACTTCTATTCCTCCATCTTCAGTATTAAGAAAGAGTAATAGAACTAGACATAAACCAATATGGATGAATGATTATGTGACTGAAAATGCATGGCTTATTCATGAAAATAGCTTACAACTGCCTCATCCCAGTTCTTCACCTCACACACCATATACTTTTCCATACTATTGTCCTTTATGGTAGCACTAGATACTGTCCAGGAACCTAGTTCATATTTACAGGCCATCCAAGATATGAGATGGGTGACAGCCATACAATTGGAAATTCAAGCTTTGGAAGCTAATGATACCTGGGAATTGACTGCTTTACCCAAAGGAAAAAAAGCAATTGGCTGCAAGTGGGTTTATAAGGTCAAGCTACACTCAGATGACACAGTGGAGAGGTTTAAAGCAAGGTTGGTGGCAAAAGGGTTTAATCAAGTTGAGGGTTAAGACTATTATGATAGTTATTCTCCAGTTGTCAGGATTGTTACAGTCAGGTTACTTCTTGCAATTGCAGCCAGCAAGAGGTGGTCTATCCAGCAATTAGACATTAATAATGCCTTCTTGCATGGTTACCTGGATGAGGAGGTTTATATGATCCCACCAGAAGGCTATGATAAAGCCAAATCAGGACAAGTCTGCAAGCTCAATAGGTCATTATATGGCTTGAAACAAGCCTCCAGACAGTGGAACAAGGAGTTCTGCAAGAAGATTAAGGATTATGGTTTTTCTCAATCAGCACATGATCCTTGCTTATTCATCAAACAAACAAAAGGGATTTTCTTGGCATTACTGGTTTATGTAGATGACATCTTAATTACAGGAGAAGATGAAGATTCTATTCAACAGGTGAAACATTTTTTGGATGAACAGTTCACTATCAAGGATCTTGGACAGGCAAAATATTTCCTTGGCATTGAACTCACTAGATCAGAACAAGGTTTGTTTTTGAATCAGAGAAAGTATGTTCTGGATATATTGAAATCAGCTGGACTCAATGGTTGCAAACCTACAACTACTCCTCTTCCCAAAGGTCATCAATTCTCAGATGAACCAGGAGCTTCCTTGTCAAATCCTTCCAGTTACAGAAGAATTGTTGGTCAATTGCTGTATTTGTCTTTCACCAAACCAGATATTACCTTTGCAATCCAGCAGCTCAGCAAACACATTCAACATCCTTGTCAAGATCATTGGGATTCTCTGATCCATGTATTGAAGTATTTGAAAGGGACACCAGCTCATGGATTGTTTTCTCCTACTGACAATGATCTCAAGTTTGAAGCTTTTAGTGATGCTGACTGGGGTTCAGACATCATCAACAGGAGATCAGTGAGTGATTTCTGCATTTTCATTGGCTGTTCACTGATTTCTTGGAAAACCAAACAACAGGATACTATTTCCTGTTCTTCAGCAGAAGCTGAATACCGGTCACTTAGTGTTACCACCAGGGAGCTTCTATGGTTATCATATCTTCTGCATGACTTCTCTATTCCATCCTAGCTTCCAATCTCCTTGTGGTGTGACAATAAGGCTGCCCTATATATCACTGAGAATCTGGTATTTCATGAGAGGACTAAACATTTGGAGATTGATTGCCATTTTGTACGGCATCAATATGAACTAGGTTTTCTTGTTCCTCTGCATGTGGCCTCCCTTGATCAAACTGCTGACATCTTCACCAAGTCCCTGCCTCATCCTCTCTTCTCCAAACTGCTATCTAAGCTTGGCGTGAAGACGTGTCTTCCCAGTCCAGCTTGTGGAGGGGATGTCAAAGATGATGAATATCCTCCTTGAAGATGAAGATCAGATCAAACAGTACGCATATGGATCATATGTAAATTTGCAGCTTTGTTGTATAGTTTACTGTTTTACCCCTGAGCTTTGTATAGGTAGTATTTTAAGTAGAGGGCTGATTGGTCTTTGTACATATGTCGGTTAGTTTAGACATATTAAATAGGCTGATAATTGGTTAGCTGTATAGTTAGTTTTTGTATTAGTGTATATATACAGTTTGTTGTACAAAGTTGAGATATGAGTCAAGGGAAGGAAATAGGGAATTCTACGATTACGGTGGGAGAGAAGAGCACTTCTAATGTTCATAACAGGGGGTTGCATGTGGAGAATCGGAGGGGAATCTTGGGTGAGAATAATGATATTGAAGAAATGTTGATGGATGGTGGCTTCAGTTTGACTCAAAGAATGAATCAATATGTTATTCCAGTAAAAACTGGACTTGATCCAACAAAGCACCAAGTTGTGATGATCATAGACAGTCCAACACATAGTACTTGTGATCATGATCAACCAAATGAATTTGACCCCGGAGATGATTTTATGATTGAGGTCAATCATACTAGCAAGCATAATCGAGATGTTGATTATGAAGCCATGGATGGATGAGATAGCAAGCAACAGTGTCTTGCATTTTCACACAAGGATTATTCGAGTTATCATGAGCCTGCTGAGTAGATACTTGGGTTTGAAACTACAACATGAGCATGAAAGGCCGAAGTTTGGTATGATGTGTAGTTGACCATGGTGAGTAACGAGTCGTTATGATTACATTCGCCAATGACAATCATGTCAAGGGAAGTGTATGAAGACATGAAAGTTGGTAACATTGCCATTACAAAAGGGGTCGTTGTGTGGACATTTGTGTTGGCTTTACACACTAATCCTGAAATTTAGGAAAATAATTCTTTTGAATTCAATCCACAAAAGTTTGCAGATGGCGATGTCAAGACTTGCAAGTATCCACAGGCATATATGCCATTTGGAATCGGACCAAGGGTTTGTCTTGGTGAACATTTGGCAACGATGGAGCTCAAGATTCTGATTGCTCTCATAGTATCGCGATTTACTCTTTCCCCTACTTATGTTCATTCCCCTGTCTTGTGTTATATTATTGTGCCCCAATACGTAGTCAATTTGTGTGTTAAGAAACTTTGAAGATTGAGCATTGAGGACTTATAAAATTTTTTTCTTCTATTTCTTTTTTTTTTTAAAAGTAAATGTAGAGATTGAATGAATTTTTCGCGAGCAGCATAATAGAGGTTGAGTTAATACTTAAAACTGTTTATTTATTTATTTATTTTTATTTTAGTATTATTATTTTTTTTGTCGTATACTTGAAACTGTTTTTTTTTTTTTAAAAAAAAAAATGTTCTTGAAACTGTTAGTTGGCTTCAATCTGCCGTCAGAGGGGATAATCAAATCAAAATTGTAGTTTAAGTAAGTAAGAAGGAAAAAGAGAAAATCAAAGACTATTTGATTGGTTGGATGTCGCGTGTCAATTAAGGAGAGTACAAAGTTTGAAGGTATTGTATTTGTTTTTTTAATATATAATAATTTAAATATACTTCCAAAACCTAATACTTTAGCATACAGCCACAAACTTTTCACGGTGCCGCTTCACCTCTCTCCGATTATTTCGTTTCTACTGTACAGCCCATTCCGGTGGCCGGAAACTGAGCGATAATGCTACTACTGCCGGATGAGTTAGTTGTGGAAATTTTGGCGTGGCTTCCAGGTAAGCAACTGGGTCGATGTAAGTGCGTGTGCAAGCTTTGGCGATCAATTATCGGGAGTCCCCTGTTTCGGGCGGTTTACCGGAGTCGTCAAATGACCCTGAATTTTTTTTGGCCGGAAAAAAACATGGCTGATGACACGAGTTCTACCACCAGTGTCCGGATCCGGTACTATGACTCAAATCTCCGGCAGTTGAACAAGGAACAAAAATTTAGTAGACATGTTGAAGTTGAAGGTGAATCCTGGCCGTGTACAATTATTATCCCGGACGGATTGACCCAATCAGTTAATGGTCTAGTTTGTCACTATGATGATGCATCTGAATTGAGTATTTACAATATTTGTACTGGGCAGAGGATGACACTTCCTCATGATCACCCTACTCCTGGATCCTGTTTCCATCTTGGGTATGATCCGATGAGCAAGATGTACAAATTACTGAGATTGAACTATCATCTCCTCCTTCGGAATGCTAAACGATCTAACCCGGTAGGAGCCGATATAATGACGCTGAGGCCCTCCAATTATAATAGTACATCATCATGGAGGAAGCTAGACTTGATTGAATGTGGCCTTGGTGGTATTCTTGGTGCCGTCAAGGATCCGCCGCCGTTCGATGGAAGTTCTATCTTGGGCAATGATGGTTTCCTATGGTGGTACTCGACAAACCCAAAATTACAACTATTCACTTTCGATCTAAACAATGAGATATTTCAAATGATTGAGTTTCAGGAGGGCATCAGAGGAGATGAGTGGAGATTAAGACAAAGCCCTGTTTTTACTCTGTCCATGGGGCGGCCGGCTATATGGAATTTTGGGCAAGATGATCCTTTCAGGTGTATTACCCTCTTTGTGTTTGAAGAAAATAAGCAATGGAAAAAGCATTGTGTACAGCTGCCTGAACAACTTGGGGAAGTGGCATATTTCGTTATCAATATCGGAAACTTACCCACCGGTGAGATTTTATTCACGAATGTTTGCTTGAGAAATCAAGACCACTGCTGGCCTGTTTGTTCCTATAACCATCACACCAATAAGTTTGAGTATTTTCTGATTGAAAATCTTCCTATCCCTTATAAGATTCCTCATGATTTAGTTCGTGCATATAATCAAAGCCTGATTTGCTGCGAAGAATTCTTTGTTCACACCTCGTTTCTACAAGATAGTAGTAGTGTTTACCTAACACTGGATGATGTACTAAGTGGTGGGGGGGCTTTGAGCTGATAAAGGAATCAGGCGTTTGCACATCTGATGGGAGATCTCTAAGTTGGCTGTTTTAGGAATTATATGAGCTGATGATGAAGATATTATCAGGTGACATAAAGGCACTAGTTTGAACTCAAGTCCTCTTCTATTAGTTTCTTTTGAATTTTGGATCCTACATAATATGATTTTGGAGGCACTACGTGTTCCTCTGACTTTAATCTTTGTCTCATGTTTTAAATCTATCATTCATTGGGTCGATTATTGTGTTACTAGTTTCATGTGCCCTTTGCTCTTAATTACATGAGTCTCATTATTGTCGTAATCTATCATTATTGTAGGTACTTGAGATACCTCCGTTACTGTAATATATACTGTATCACAGGATAATGAAACATGCAGGAATCAGAAGCCAATGAATCAATGATGGATTTTAGAATTTTCGTAAAACTTAAAACGTAATCATAATGCATGTAGTTTTTTTTTTATTTTATATTTTGCATCCCGATGTCCAAAATCATTGCTCCGACTAATCTCTTTCTTGCTAGAGATCTTACGAAGAAAGACTTACCAGATAAAAGGAAGGAACGAAAAAAAAAAAAAAAAAACTCCTTCGAGCTAGAAAGCTTTCAAAAAGTACTTTCTCCTACCTAAAAATATAATCCACTTTGATATTCAAGATTTGTACTAAAAATAGTATGAATTTGAAAACTAACTGTTTGTCTTGATTTTGACATACTATTATGTAGACTTCAGTGTTTTATAGTCTTTTCTATTTACTTGTCAATGTATATATTTGGACCGAATTATGTTCTTCAATGTTATCATCTACAAATATTTGATATTAGCAGTTATTCCATCCATACCAAAATAAGTAACCGGCAATAAAAATGACTATTTTTAGTGATATTAGTACTTATTCGAGGTTATTACGGAGATGGATTTGAGCAACACGTAAGTAGCGTGATAGGGGCAAAGGCCATAGAGAAGATAATAAAACTAGATAAAAAGGTTAAGGGAGATGCAAAAATTAATCAGAATCAGAGTTATAAGAATGAATGAAGTCGATGAATTTCAATAGTTGATTCTCAGCAGACTGCATCTCAATGCGTGTGTTTGCCAAAACAATTCTGCATCCCAATCAACCAAAATAAAAAGGAAGAAGAAAGAAAAGAAAAAGCGGCAATTTGCAAAGGGGTTGTGGATCAAGTCGTGTCTCCCAAGTCGGGAAAAAAAAAGGTAAGAACGAAAGAAAGCAATTTGGGACATGATTAAATGAATGTGATATTAAGACAATCTCTTTTAGGCTCTGTTTGGTTTAATTGAATTGGACCGGTCGCCAATTCCAATTCTTGTATTTGGTTAATAAAAATAGACTTCCAGAATTAGAATTATAATTCATAATGGGGCTTAATTCTTTATTTTTAATTCTTTTGTGGGAGTAAATAATTGCAATTCAAATTCGAAGGTCTTTTAAAAAATCGCGGGTCATAAATCCGGGTCAACTTATTTTTTCCGGGTTCGGATAAAATTGACGTCTCTTTCGAACATTTACCGTTTCTTTATTTTCTTTCTTCCTTTTTTCCGCCCATGGCGAAGCCCGTCTGAAATCGCCGGCTCGTAGGGCTCTTTAGTTTTTTTATCAATTTTTTTGCTTTTATTTTTTCTCTACCAGTGGATCCCCTGTATTGATGTTTCTTAGTTTCGGCAAAATTCCAGTTTTCATTTTGAAGACACTGTTTTGGTGTAGCCTTGTTTTCCATGATATGTTGTCGTTTAGACATGTTTCTTGCTGCAAAAAAGTTCTTTGTTTATCAAAGTTTGTGCCAAAACTTTACGGATCTTTCAACCGATTTTCATTTAGCTTTGAAAGTAGTTTTAAAGTTGCCATGAAACATTTGTTTGGGGTACAAGGAAACACAAGTTGGGAAAATGAGTCTCAAGACGTCAATGTCCATTGTTCAAAAATATGCAAGCCCAACATATTCCTCACTATGACCGTCACTGGCCAGAGATCAAAATAGGCCAAACCGAACGAATGGCCAGATATACTCAATTTTATAACTATCTAAATTCCTAAACATCCAAACGCAAAAATTGGTAGTAAAATCTTAATTATACTCAATTTTTAAGATCTCCCAAACAAAGGAATTATAATTGAATTACAATCCTAATATCTCATTTTCAGTTGTAATTCCAATTCAATCCTAATTCAATCCAATTCAAAAATTGGTAGTAAAATCTTAATTATACTCTTCTTTTTGTGTTGGCTCTGGAAAGTTCCTAGGCTTTCAAGTATCAAAAGACGGAATAAGCGTTGATCCCGCAAAAGTTGAAGCAATTTTGTCCATGGAAGCCCCAAAAACAGTCAAAGAAGTTCAAAAGCTTACGGGATCCCTGGTGGCATTAAACAGGTTCCTATCTCGAGCTGCAGAGAGGAGCCTCCCCTTTTTCAAGACGTTGCGAAAAGGGAGGAGTTTTGCATGGACTGAAGAGTGTCATAAAGCATTCCAGGACCTGAAAGAGCATCTCAAGCAATTCCCATGTTAGCTAAACTGGACCCGGGAGAAACTTACGAGCTTGAGTAAAGGAAGTCAGTTTAGTGGTTGGAGATAAGGGAGAGGTAGAAGTATTCAGATCAAAGATTTTCTTGGGTTTGTGGATTTTATTTTGGGCACGAGTGACCATGCAGGGAGGAGAAGAAGCTGATAATGGTGAAGAGAATGGTGTGGACTCTTGATCTGGTGGTGGATGTGCTTGCAAGTTTGAGGGAGAGTCACTCCTTGGAGAAGAGGAGGCTGGAACAACAGTTTCAGAGTTAGGGAAATTGATGGGAACATTATGTGGTAGGGAATCTGCAAACGAAGACTGTGGTAGAGGGTCAATCGATGAGTCTGGAGAGGGTTGGATGAATGAGCCATGAAGATCAAGAAACAAATCAAAAATATTATTAGGAACACAAGCATTAGCGGTGGAAGTAGTTTTAAAAGGAAAATTATTTTCATGGAAGACAACATGACGAGAGAAAAAAATCTTTTGCGTCGATGCATCAAAGCACACATGCAATTGATGACTCACAGAAAAACCTAGATATTCACAAGGATGAGAGCGGGGTTCAAGCTTATGTTTTGTATAAGGTTTTAGCCATGAATAACATAAGCAACCGAAGACCCTCAAGGATTCATAGGAAGGGTTTTCACGAAATAACCGAAAATAAGGGGTGTCTTTATTCAAGATGGGAGTAGCCATACGGTTAATAAGAAATGTGGCACTTTGAAAAGCATAGTTCCAGAATTTCATAGGCATGTTAACATGGTGAAGAAGTGTAAGACCAGTTTCAACAATGTGACTATGTTTTCGTTCAGCCGAGCCTACATGTTCAGGGGTATATAGGGGTGATGTCATATGTTGAATGCCATGTTTATGAAAAAATGAGGAAAGAGAATGGTACTCGGTACCACCATCTGTATACAAAACTTTGATTTTGGTGGAGAAGTAGTTTTCAGTAAGGTTAGAGAATGTCTCAAAAGTGGTACAAATATCATATTTTAATTTTAAAGGGTAAAGCCAAGTATATTTTGTGAAATAATCAATGAAGATCACATAATACCGAAAATTTCCAACAAAAGAAATGGGTGCTGGACCCCAAACATCAGAGTAAACATATTGAAAAGGTGTCGTGCATGAAATAGAAGTTTACTAAATGGAAGCTTATGACTTTTATTGCTAAGGCAAGAATCATAAGCATAATTTATTGAGGAGTTGGAGGAAGACAGATTGGTGCTTGCCAATATTTCTCTAAGAACTGATGAAGATGGATGACTGAGACGGTTGCGCCAAAGTGTGGAAGAGATAGCAATAGATGCAGATGGACCAGGAGAGCGATGAGGTAACTGGTGAAGATTCGAAGGCCAGACATAGAGATTATTATTACTCCGGCCACCAAGAATGCCCCTATACGCAGATCCTTAAAAAAGTAAACTGGGATTTCTTTGTCGTCTTTTTTCTGGATGAGAACCGCGGATCCCAATGGCGAAATGCCATGCAAGATGAATTTTCTTCCCTTCAAAAAAATAGCACTTGGTCACTTGTCCCAAACTCTCCTACACAAAATATTATTGGGTGCAAATGGGTATATAGAATTAAGAAAAATTCTGATGGGTCTATTGCGAGGTACAAAGCTTGCTTGGTTGCTAAAGGTTTTCAGCAACTCCCGGGTATTGATTTTGCGGAGACTTTCAGCCCTGTGGTTAAGCCAACTACCATTCACCTAGTTCTTTCAACCGCTGTGAGACGTGGTTGGCCTTTACACCAACTTGATGTTAATAACGCCTTTCTCCAAGGCACTCTTTCTGACCTTGTTTATATGCAGCAACCTCCGGGTTTTATTGATTCTCAATACCCTCATTATGTTTGCAAGATACATAAGGCTATTTACGGACTTCGTCAAGCTCCAGGGGCCTAGTATAATGAGCTTTGTACATTTCTTGTTGCCCCTATGGGTTTACATATCACAAAGTGATGCCTCCTTATTTATTTATCTTCATGGATCTCACACTTTGTATCTCTTAGTTTATGTGGATGACGTCATCTTAACAGGAAGTGAGTCTACTCTTATTCGTCCCTTCATAGTGTTGGAAATAAACTAAATATAGGTGTGAATGAGAATTTGTTTCTCATACGATTGGGAAGTTACACATGAGTGTCAAAAAGAATATGTGGCCTGATCAACCACATTTTGTCATTCCAATCACTAAATGGAGAGATGTTACTTCCCATTGAATTTTGATATTCAATAGGAATGAATGTTTGGTTTAATTCAATTGAAAGGCAAAACCGTTGTAACGGTTTTAACCATCAAGTTAGTGTATTTAATTGAATTAAAAATATCTTAAGTGATATTGGGGCTCTCTCATCCTATATGTATTGCTTTATTTTCAAGAATCCAAGACTTAAAGAAAAATGAACCAACTTTCTCTTTTCTTCTACTAGTCAAAATCCTCCTAACCTTCCTTGGTGTT